TAGTAGTAATTAATTAAAAAAAAAAAAAATAAGTAACTCTCTCTCTCTCTAAAAAATTTAAATTTCTATAAAAAAATTAAAATAATGCTTAATTATATAACTTCTAAAAAAAGTGATATTGATGCTATTAAGATGGAAAATTTTTGATCAGTAAAGCTATACTAATCTAATCTGCCTAAGATTGGTGGCCATTTTCACTAAATCTACATACTAGCTTGTTAACTAGTTAAATAATTGATTCATTTTTCTTTTTTTTTATCAATATTTCTTATCTTATCAATGTTATTTACTTACGTGCAACCCAACGAGATCATATTACAAAATATTTGAGCGAGACAGAGAAGACGATTTTTTGGATAATCAGCCATATGTCGTTCAAGGAACATTCGTCGTAACTTCCACTGTTCATCACTTTCATGTAATGCTCGTAAGCTATCCAAACTATTCACATCTAACAATTCATCCATTAAAAAAAGTTTTATCCCTGAAAATAACATTTATAAAATCAAAAATGAAATTCTTTTTTTTTTTTTAAACAAAATTTTTAATGCTATCTCTTGTCATCCTTCGCTCTATTGAAGCATGCTAGAACAAATCTTCCAAAAATTTTTAATTATTCATTGACCAGAGAATTCCAACATACAGTAGATAAATTAAGACAGTTGCATATCACTATTATATGATAAAATTAACTGTAAACTGAAATACATACAGTATAACCATCCACCCATAATCTGAATTTCCGGGAACTTTTTTTTAACGGTCAAATTCGATTAACAAAATTTCCTTCATCCATTTTTTATGAAGGAATTTCATTCTAACAAATTCTTCGCCAATTAGAATTTCCCGTCAAAACAAATCTATCCTTTTATTAAATTGTTGAATTACAGATACAAAAGCCTAGATATAGTATAACCTTATTGATATCTTTACGACCTACAGTACCTTACAAATCTTAATTATTTCCAACACATTTTGGTATAAAATGTATGAATACCACTGGAACGATACTATCAATAACATTCTTTCAAAACAATTATCAAAAAAAAAAAAAAAAAACTAAGTAACGAATGGTATCTTCTGAACCAAAAAAAA